ATATAGGAGTCATAGCAAAATATGAATAATTAAAAGTCTTTTGTAAATAAAACATCACTCTATTATATCTCAGTAAATAGGCTTTCATTAAAAAAAACTTTGAATTAATCTGCAAAACCTTCATCCCTTCCCCACTGTACACGACATTGTGGTGGCAACCGATGTCACACTGGTGCCCGCAAGAATCAAGAGCCTGCAACATGCAACTGCGCGCTGCAATGGCAAGACACAGCGGAAAGACGGCTGAAGGAATGCATTGAGACATGCTACATCGAGGCCTAAAGTTATGCCGCAGCGTTGTGCTTGAAAAACTTGCAGAGAAGCTGATGAGGCGGCAGCGAAGTAGAGCAAAAGGAAGCAGAGAAGCAACAACGCCAAAGGCGGAGATGAGTGCAGTCTTATAAAAGACTCATAAAAACGCTCATTCATATACATACATACATACATACACACATACATACATACAGAAATTTGTTTCAGCTGTATTGTTGCTAAAAGCCTTCATATTCAGATAGCGAACGAAAGGCGGAAGTCATGAGGGGTGACAAACGAAGATTGGGTAGCCAACGCATTCACCGTTGTAGTTATACACAGTTGTTGTTGATATTAAGACGGCGACGATGGTAGTGAAGAGAAATTAATGCCAACGGATATAATTTCATTCGCATTTAAAACCATTTTATATAAATTACACACGCACACAAACAGACATACACAAGCACTCATTCATGTGCTCATTTAGTTGTAAAGTGTTGTGTCTAGATATATTATAAATGTATATACTTGTATGTACACACATACATATGTGAGGTTTAGACATATTATTTAATCTTCACGTGCAAATTATTATTAAACAGTAATCTATTATTTTCGGAATAGATTTTTTTAGTGATCTGTATCTCGAGTTCTGTAAGTGCGATCGAATTATGCTAGGCGGCATTAGAAAGATGATATTTTGAGTTAACGGAGAAATGTCGATTCACCTAACTCAGGTATATGCTATATTCTAAAATGCTTCGATAAACGTGAAATCGCAAGTCATGCTACTAAAAAGGTGCATAGTGTTTATGGGGACCCTCCCCTGATATTGGGCAAAAGTCAGGCAAAGTTTCTATTTTTTTTGTGGGAGAATGAAAAGGCGTACGCACTTCCGGTTTTGACTATTGAGTTTCATTTATTGTTTGATATTTTAAAATGACAAAAAAGTAGTTGAAATTCAAAAGGCGGCTGTAAAATAGTGCTTTCCGTCGGTCTCTGTGCGAAACAATTTCAGGCTTAAAGCCTCTTGTAGTGAACGGAAATCAAAAATCATTGTCCTTACTTGAAGATCATGAAATTTTCTACGTCTGAAACCTCAATTGAAATAATTTTAACGAGAAATTTATCATATAATGCTCATTACAGTTATATAGTTAATTTTTTTCTGCCACTTTTTTCACTCCAATTACGTTAAAAATATATAAATAATTAATTATTAAAGCAAATCTTAAGTTCAAGAGGCACAAAAAACCATATGCTTTGAAACCGTTTATAGTCAAAAGAAATTGGACGGTTAGATCAAGTCTGGGACTTGAAGTTAGATCGAAAAACATGGCTTCGAGAAACACGTAACAAACCCGCATTCACATTTTAATATTGAGAGCAATCGTCAAAATACCAGCTACAGCTTGGTATACGTCGCGATGATGCAACTACTAATTTTGAGGAGTGTTTACTTTGGCAGATAACAGCTAACAATGATGCAGCACGACCTCATTTCATTTCTTATTTAGAATGACCTCATTCAAGCCTGGACAATTGTTGTGGCTTAAACCTCCTGTCGAACACTCTCAAACGTTGAAAAATTGTTCTTAAAATTTCATAAAAATCTATATTTCTTTATAAACAGGAATCGTTTTGCTAAAAACACAATTTGAAATCATCTTGAAAATTGTATATATTATATTATTATATATGGACTATATATATATCATATATATACAAGTATATATATATGTATATACAATATATAATTAAACTTTTTATTAAGACCTTTCTTCATGTAAATAAGACAGCCTGTAAATAAAATATCATGTACATAGGTAAAATATAATCTTTTATTCTCTAAAAATTGAAACAGTCAAGTACATATGTATGGAGTAATATGCCATTGTGTATGCGCTAACATTTCAGTGTAGCCTACTGTTAGGCGTGTGGAATTGTTTAAATATACCAAAGGCGAAATTTATATTTTATTCACTAAATGAAAATGTAGTACCATATAACTACACACTTATATCCACATACATATGTATATGCATAACGGTTTCTGTCACAGCTATTCGTCATTTATGTATGTTTTGAGTATTGGAATAGTAGCAGCTGTTACAATAACTAATGTAGTTGCTGTTGTTTTCTTACCTATGATTCGAATTACTTTTGGGAAGATTAATGCAAATATTTTTCACTCTCTCTTATATATACATAGGGACATACATCCAAACAATTGTCATTTTCATTAAAAAATACTACCAGCCAATCTAAATACATAGAAATAATGTACGCTGTACATGCATATGTTGCAATGCATCGACTTAGAGTACATACACACACACACACAATAGTATAAATTTTATTCGCGAAGTTCGTCAAAAATGGTGAAGCGATGAAATGAAATGAATGCGAGCAATTGTAATACACAGAATATATGTATGTATATATGTATACCTATCATATAAGGAAATTGTATATGTTTTTTCATATGTCTATATATATGGCTTCAATGGAAAATGTTTTATTTGTTGGCTCACAAACCATGCTCAACAATTTCTATAGGAATTAGCAACATAAATAGAACGTGTTTAGAACAAAAAGGAAACAGTTCCTGCAAAACATTTTTTGTTTCTAAATTTTACGGTTCTTTAAAATGACTACCTGTGGAATAAAATATATATATGTACCGATTTGGCGTTTTGTAACCACCGAAGCAATTTTCGGCCGAACTTCTACTTCAATTTCTGGTATGCATTTTGATATTTTCCCAACAAATGGCAGGACCTGGAGTTTAATCTAAATTGCCGTTCGATTTCTATGAATCCTATGATCTACATTCCATACCAGAATTACACTCGGAAAGCTTGATATTGCTGTCGAGGGTCGAACGCAATGAGAAACGCTGTTATTAGATGTTATATGAAACCTGACCTTCCGAATAACGGTACGCTAGGCTAATCACGCGGCTATTGCGGTCTCCATAAATATGTAGAGAGCATTATTTAGTCGGAAATGTAGTTTTAATTGAAGCTTAGTGCATTAGTAGCTTAGCATCTACAATAGAATACTTTTTTTGGAGAAACAGATCACAGAGGGTATTAGTATAATTTGGATACAAGCATACGAGGTGTGATCCGAAAATATCAATTATTTTCAAATTTTTCCAACACATTGACCCAAAGCATAAGGAAAATATGGTGCGTAAGTGGCTCAACTGTGGTAAAGCTATAAATATTCCGGCCAAAAAACCAGCTTTAAGTTCCAATTAAAAATCTATTTTGGAAAAAGAGGGACTAAAAGGTAACTAAAAATTCTCACAGAACTCAAAAAGGGCTATGTTAGAAGAACAAAATATACCCAAAGCACTGGGCTAAGCTTACGCTAACAGAACAGACTGTCTCTCATAATGTGGATTAACTTGCCAGATGAGGAGCGACTAAGCAGATTCTTCCCGATAAAAAACGCATTGGTATGCCTTTTGCCACATGCAAACTGCTGCTCAAGGAATTTATATATGAACAAACCACAACAAGGTAGAATGGCATCCCAACTTGCCACAAAACCTGGCACACATGCCCGAAATGGGATAGGAAGCGATCACGAGATATGTACTTCCTAAAAAGAGGCGACATGTCCAAAGTTATAGGATTTCTGACAGGCCACTGTCTGATAGGGTGCCATGCGGAAAGGCTCGGGGCTCCCTATAGCAGATGCTGCAGAAGGTGCAAGGATAATGAACAAGAGGAAACGATCACCCATCTATTATGCGACTATCCTGTATTGAGCAGGGTGGGGTTTCATTATTTTGTGACTCTACTGCTGGATAGTCTATCGAAGATAACTGATGTCAAAGTCATGGATCTAATGAGGTTCATTACATATGAATTTGTTAGAAAACTCAAAAATCTTTTTAAAAAATAATCAGTTAATTTGTAAGTTTTTTTTTAATATTTCTTAAAGTTAATAGTTTTAGCCAAACAAAGGATCGTTGTTTGTTTTTAATTTGTCGCCTCACTTATAATCCCCTGAAACAGGTTTTCGAAATGTTTTAGGAACTTTTCTGTAAAAAAATGTTCGAACATTGGTATTTCTAAATAGTTTTGATATGTATTTCGAATTATTAGCACTTTAGAACCTTAACATTCTTGTGCAAATTAAAATTTGTGCCTCTTCTGGAGATGTCTCTTAATGGGTGTAGAGTGTTTTGTTACAAACCAATGTAAATGACGTTTCAATTTTTCGTTCTTATTATATGTAAAGATCCTTCCATACAACCTCATTTGAATTGTTAAGCCGTCCGTTTGGGCTGGACACATATAGTCTCTTAAAAAGTATAACTCCACTTGCTACATGGAAATGTAAAAGTAATCAGTGCAAAGTTAAGCTATTTTTCCAGTAAATAACCTTTTTAAAAAAAATCGTTTCCTTTTTTGTTGACATAATTTTGCACCGCCAGCAGGCTAATGTTACCCGACAACATTCCTAACAAATCGCTATCACAGAGCGCTCTAAGTGGTCCAGCAATTTTGCTAATCTCGCTTATGTTTTAATTACTTACAGATAGTCACATGTGCATGTGTGTACATTTAGCTGGAGAAAAACAAAGCAGATATAACATGTCATTGATCTGAAGAATTACATACATAGATACGAGAGAAACAAGTTATACAACAACAATCAATAAAAACTCTAATTGCGCCACTACATACATACATAACAAACATTTAGCGGAGTAACAACATCAGCAGCAGCAGCAGCAGCAGCAGCAGCAGCAGCAATAAATTGCTTACAAACTAACGTAAACATATCTATGCAGATGTACATATGTATGTATGAAGCAACCACATTTTCAACCGGAAATAGATAAATCAACGAGAAAAGCGTGAAAGGCAACAAAACTTTGCGGAGCGAGTGCGGCAGAAAGTTGGTAACGACGCAGTGAGAGAGAAGAAAAAATTGCCACAATAAACACCAAAACATGCACAATCGAACAACAACAGACTAACCACAACACACAAGAAAATAGAGAAGCAGAGGTAATAGTAGAAACACCAGCAGAGCTGGCAGCAGCGGCGACAACAAACATAAAACCGAACCGAGGAAGCCAACAACGATATCGGGGGATTGTGCGCCACTCAAGGTCGTCTAGGAAAAGGGTGGGTGCATGTGTGTGTGTGTGTGTGAGTATGTGCGCCCCTAAGCGACAGAGATAGAGAGCAACAGAGAGCATAGTACAATAAAGAAAGAATAAACAATAAAAAAAACCAATGTTGCAACTGCAACAACAATAGCAAAAGATAAACAAGTTTTCGCCAATTAGTTCATTGCAAGAGAGAGCACAGCAAGCACAACAAGCACAACAAGACAGAGAAGAGGAAGAGAGCGCGTGTGCAGCAAACGAACAAGTTGATACAACACATGCCTCCAACCAATGCACTAAAAGGCAAACACAAACTGTTGGAACGAACATAGAAAGTCGCAAACGAACAATTTTCCGAAGCCTCAATGAAGAAGGCAGCAAAGAAAATTTGGCGCCCAATGAAGTAAAGTGTTGCAGCGCAACTGAACCACCAGCAGCACGCGCATCGGCCATAACAACCGACACATCAACGGAAATCAACAGTCAGCGCCATCAGCAGCAGCAGCAAACAGGGTCTCAACGGCAGCTCGTGTGAATTTCTGAATTCAGTTCGAAACGGACTTTCGGCGCGAATGCAAGTCAGGTAAATTTCAATGCTCGGCGCTTGACTTTAAAAGTAAACAAGTAGGTTGTTGATAAATGAGAAGCCAGTGATAGTGCCAAAAACCGGTCATTTAATTGTGTGTGATAAAAGATAAGATACAGTTTTTCAAAAAACCAACAACAGCAACACTTAATAATTAAGGACTGTGTGTTTTTGAATTTTAAATCGTTGTTGTAGAATACGTGAAAGTGCAGTTCCTCAACCTGAAGAATATTTTGTGAGTAATTCAGATTTTGTTAAAAAAATATATTTGTGTAGAATTTGCTTCAAAAAAATAATTGCATAACCCTTTCGAAATTAAAAAATATAGAAAAGTTGATGTTAAAAAAGTGGTTGATATAGAAAACCTTTAAAATATTTGTCACGTTTATTATATTTAACAACAGCTACGAACTCCTAAAAGTATGCGTCAATTCCTAAAATTTTCTATGTAATTGATTTTTTTTTTAATTATGAAGCCTGAAATTTCTATATTTTTTTAATAATGAATAACTTATAAATGTATTTTTTTTTTGTCTGTTGAAAAATGAGACTCCTTCACTGAAGATTAGGAACTTTGGATTAGAACACCTTGAGTAATAGAATGTTAGTGTGAAGCTATCGTAGGGTGGGTGAGATGTGTCACGTGTTAAAAAATGTAAAATTAAATAAAAACGATATATTTAAATTAAAAATAATAGTACTTGTTCGTCTAAAGTGTCCTAACACGCGTCAGAAAAATGCCAATGTTATAGCAACTTGGATGATGAACCTAAAAGCTTTTTTCATGATACCTTATTTATAACTGACTATTCATTCCATTTACTTATAACTAAGGAAGGCTTGAAATTCTTCCAAAAATCAATTTTTAAACACCCAACTGCCTCTGTTATGGGTTGATTATAGACCCATATCAACCGATTTTGGTTTAATTACATATATTAAATATCTCTGGAAAAGTTTAATCATCCACAAATGATCGATGCCAAACAGCACTGGTTTAAATTTCTTAAAATTCATTCATATATAACATGCATTGTACCACACATGTTGTTGTAACAAAAATATTTTCCCTATGTAGTTGCTGCCGATTTCGTCTTAAGCAAACAATTTTAGCAGTGAAATTTATATTTTTTATGTGCAAAAGTAAAATGTCTCGGAATAATAGTTTACTACGCAGTAATAATAATTTAATATGAAACACTAAATATTAGTAATGCGTTATACGACGAAGAGCTGTCAGCCCTATTGTAATGGAAATTTCATAAATAAATCGCTCGGAGCATAAAATTTAAAATAAATACCGAAAAAGAAATGTTATTAACATTCCCTACCCCAACTAATTTTCTATGATTCCACGAAGTAACAGTAGTGAAACAATTACTTTTTAATTTTCCAATAAAAAGGTATTAATTAATTTCTGTTTCCCCTCTAGAACATCTTTCGTGGCTTTGGATCAAAGGTCAGCTTTGACAGTGGATTCCTCTTGCCCCAAAAGGTAAGTAATAATCATAATTAGGTATCATTATAGCATGCAAACTACGACTATCAAAGTTGCTAATTACTTAAATGAACTTCATATGTATGTGAATAATTAATGCTGCTTTGTTAAAAAGGTTACTCATACGTCACGTACGCATAATTTTTAATGAATTTTCCTTTAATGAAAGTGCTTAGCGCAAATATTTTGGCTGAAAATGTGTAATTAATACTATGTAATATAACTCAAACAGCAATTTCATATCGGTATATCTTACATACACCGCTAAATATAAATACTTAAGCACGTGACCAATTCTCGCTCGTACTTTGATAACAAGAACAATGAGCCAACAGTGAGCAACCGGCGTCTGCAACTTTACTGTTGTCTAGTGGCTTTGTTTTTATACTTTATGTCTTCATCCGTTTCGGTCACTCTCTATGTAGATGTGTGTGTTTTATGCCAAGAAGCGTGAAGTGATTGTGGTTTAGGTGGGAAAATTTTTATTCAGGTCACAGTTAATGGAGTGTGATTTGTATTTGTTTATATGTTTATATGACAGTTTATGATCATCTTCTGTCCGAATTAATTTCTCAAATACATATATCACTTTAAAAATAAACATATGAGTTGAAGAGAATGAGTATGAGAACGAAAAGCCGCGACGGATCCACAAGTGCTTATTAGGGGAGGAGAATAATTGTATGCCATGTTAGGCGATGAAGTAACTACCAAACTATTGCGATCCTTATAACGAATGCTATTAATTTGACCTCAGTAATTCATAAATTTGAAAGTTTTCCTTTAGCAACTAGTATTGTTTCGAACTATTTGAGTAGAAATGTACATCGAATTCCCTTGCTGACTCCGTCCATATCATATGATATTATATTTTTTTATTTAATTTCATAATTATATATCTTAGTGTAAAGTTCATGCTATTAAAGGGTAATTTTTAAGAGCTTAGGAGATATTTTCAAGATAAAAAAACACAGAAAGTTCAGAAATGAAATGAATGAAATCCTTATTTGTATCGATAGTACGGTGCCTATAATGTAAGGTTTGAAGATTATTTCATGCAAATGTGGACTGTGACTGCGCATCAAATGGTCCATCAACTTTGTCTAATTTCGTCATACTCTTTTCAACATTTCGGCCGGTATCTCACGAATAAATGCTTCAAGGGTGTCCTCCAATGCCTAGATTGAAGCGGGCTTATCTGTAAGACATTAAATATAACATAACCCCACAACAAATAGTCTAAAAGCGTTAAATCGCACAATCTAGGTGCCCAATTGACCGGTCGCGGACGTGAAATAAAATGTTCACTTCTCAATAAGTCCACGGTTAAGCGTGTTGTATGGCATGTGGCACCATCTTGATGAAACCACAAGTCATGCAATTCAAGCTCTTACATTTTAGGCAAAAAAAAGGTTGATATCACGGTAGCGCTCACCATTCACAGTTACGTTAAGAAACGTATCAACTTTGAAGAAGTACGGTCCAATGATGCCACCAGCCCAATGATGTGCACCAAACAGTGATTTTTTCTGGTTGCATTGGTAGCTCTTGCAATGCTTCTGACTGATCTTTACACCAAAACCGACAATTTTGCTTATTTACGCATCCATCAAGCCAAAAATGAGCTTCGCCGCTAAACATAATGTTTTTTTTTTAGAAATTTTTTAACAGAGTATGCTTTTTGATAAAAAAATTCAATAATTTGCAACAAATTGAAGGGTAATGAGGTATTCACTACATCCGCCAATATTGGGTCAACTCGACAACTCGGTTTCGCAAACTCCTCGTGTTGGCTAGAGTATAGGGTGAGGTTACTAGGATCCGCAGTAGTATAGCAATGAGTCCGTTTGATGGCCTGATTGACCTATTAACCGGCAATCACTTTAACTTACTAGCCTAACCTAAAGCAACGCACTTTTTAGATTTACATTTATTGTAATGGAGAAGACGAGAATATGAAAATGGCTAAAATCATTAATCGGCTATGGCGAATCCAAAGACTCTTAAGCCCTCAGACACAGATATAATCTCGTAGATAATTTAAAGTTGGACCATTTTATTTAGTAACCGAAATCTCAGAGGCATTTGTACCAGTAGTAAAAAATTAATAAAAAAAACTCTTCTTTCGGAAAATTTAAAAGTAACGATTACTTGAAACACGCTGCGTTAGGAAGTTCTAAATGTTCCCTTAAGATATTTTTCTCATACTTTTCAATATATTTGCTGTTTTTATTATGCAATATATTATTGTCTAATATATATAATATATCTGTGTGGTATGCGACTATAATAGCGTCAGTATTCGCTCACTAAGCTTCAAACCACTTGGCCTTCAGGTTTTAAATTCAGTCGCTACAGCGCTCACATACCGCCGGGCAGGTCTACCAAACGAGCAGTCATTTGCCCATTTTACCTATCACGCATGCCCTGCCGTCGACCCTTTCAGAACACTCAAACCGCAAACGCAAACGCAGCCGTAAACGCCTTCGGTGTGAACGCTTTCATGCACATAAGACAATAGGCATGGGAAACGGCCAGTCCGGCAGTCAACCATGAGCATACCGCAAGCCAATTTGCCAACTCAACGACGACGACGACGACGACGACGAATTGATCGACCCACCAGGCAGCGGCCATTCATTCAGGCAAATCGCGTTGGAACATCTTCAGTTAAGCCGCTTAAGTCAGCTATTTTGGCTCTTATTGCCTGCTGTAGCTGTCGTTGTTGGACATACAACCACAGCATACATATTCGTACATTCATACAAACATAGCCTGCGGATAAATCGCGAGATTTTCGCACGAAAATCACGCTGATTTAGTTGTCGTTGTGGCAAGCTGTCTCCAGCGTCATCCCCGCCAAACATCGTCGCCATCCGCTCCGCCAATAATGCCGCAATCAATGCCGTTGTTGTTTTGCAGTCAATATTGTTATGGACTATATAGTTGTTGTGATTGACGTTAAATACACAGTCGTGGTAACGATGACAACAACAGCAACAACAACAACATGTTATTAAGCGATAGCCAAAATCATCGTAGCTGTAACGCAACACTGAAGATGAGTCGCCTTTAGCCGGTGAAATATGGATAATTGTTTGAATGCAATGTGAGACATGTATATAGTGTATACGTATATATATACATACGTACAAATATGTGTGTTCAACAGATTGCAATAGCTGTTTGCCGGTTTGAGTTTTTGGTTAAATATATGTACATATGTAAGTACATCCAAATATATAGAATTTCGTATAAATACTTATGCGTTTATCGCCATTGTGTATTACGTTTGTATGTATGCATGTATATATTTCAATACATACACATGTATGTGCATAAATGTAATTGTTTATGCGACGCTTTGGGGAATGCGCGTCTGTTGGGAACCAATAACATTTAGTTTCACATACTGACCACAACCAAACAAACACCAATGCACAACCACAGCCATAGACACTGACGCGGACGCGGACGGTATGAACGGTTTTGCCTACTTTGAGGAGCCGAAGATGAGTTGAGTGCACGCTTTCGTGCTTCTTTGACTTTTTCGTTTCTCATCGCTGTTGTTGCATTAATGTGAAGCATTAACGATTTTAGCGCGAGATTGATTTTTTGCTTATTTTGTATGTACATATACATATATGTACATGCAGGCATACATGTAAATACTTTGTGGGAGGGCTGGTAATGAGGTGGGAATTAGGTTGAGTATGAATTATAGCTGTGTTTATATTTCGTGTGGGAACTGGGTTGCTTGCCACAGCAGCAGGTATGGGAAATGCGCATTTTTCGAGCAGATTTTTATGTGCATTGCTGACATTTTCGATTTCACTTAAAAAAATCTAAAAAAAACTATAAAAAAAAACTTAAAAAAAAAACTAAAAAAAGACTAAAATAAAAATTAAAAAACAAAAAAAATAGGCATTATTCAGAAGAAATAATTTTTTGCATTGAAACTATATCAAGAAACGCTTTGATTTTTCATAGCTTACCTATATGTAAATAAAGATTTGTAGTTGAAACGCTAGGGTCAACAAGTATTTTTTGCTTACTTGAATGCATAGATGTAATATTTTTTTCACAGACCGCAATAATTACGATTTTTATTAAAAAATAATAATTTTCTTTTAGTTTTCGTATATATATCGTATATATATCTGATTTTGATTGTCTCATGAAAAATATGTGTGCTAAATTATTTTTTCTTGACGAGCGCCAGACCCATGGAAATAGTTTGGTGACGGATATCAAGTGCATACAAAGTATGTGCGTGCTTAAATGCAGTGAAAGTTAAGACCCCGACGAAGGAACCCAAACATATCACGATGAAGTCATCGTTTCAACACCCTAATGGTAATTACTTTAAGAACAATGAAGCGACGGGAGCTGCTGGGTAGCAGAGCTGATGAAAGCTTACCAGTGTGGCTTCAGACCTAACAAATCTACAATTGAGAAGATATTACAGCTGCCTATAAAAGCACGTAAAGGAGCTAATACTACGTTGCTAAGTCTGAATTAGTTATCTACGGAAAATTTATGTGGATGCTTACACTGACGATAAGCAACACAAAAAGTTGCATCAGAATCGGTTAGCGCGATTTCGAGCCGATACCAGGGAAGGGAATTTTATCTCTAATATATATCATCATCGCATAGGATCAGGAAGACCTCCACTTTATTGAAGGGATCAGTCTGAGCAAGTTTTGGCACTATCAGTGGTGCTTACTTCAGTAAAAAGGGGTTAAAATGTGAAAATTCATAAGAATATTTTATATAATAAACAACCGAATCTTTCGAAGGCCTCAGCCTCTGCCTTTCTCAAATGCAGTGTTGCCAGTTCATCTGTTGTTTATCTCTCCTAAATTGAGCATTCGAACGGATTTTAACTATAAATTAGTTTAAATTAACTCCGCAAATTATTTCTTTCATTCTGTACGTATTTTTTCACTTAACATGACACTAAATTTTATAAATGAAATAAATTAGATTTTTTA